TGAGATCATGACCTGTCTGAAGGCAGAGGCTTAACCCACTGAGCCACCGAGGCACCCCAAGATTATCCATTTCTTGATGATTCATTAGTAGTAGGGGGTGTTTTTCAAGGACTTTATCCATTTGATCTAGGATATCCAGTTTGTTGATGTACCATTGTTCATAGTACTCTTATAATCTTTTTTATTTTTCTGTAAAATTGGTAGTATCCCCTCCTATATTCCTGATTTCAGTTGTTAAATTCTTTTCTTTTTCTTAGTTTATTAGCTAAAGATTTTTGAGGAGCCAGTTTTTGATCTCAGCAGTTTTCTCTATTGGGTTTCCTATTCTCCATCTTAATGATTTCTGTTCTAAACTTTATTCCTTCTGGTAGCTTTGGGTTTAGTTAATCTGTTTCTTTCAGGTACAAATTTAAGGTGTTAATTTGGGATATTATTATTTTTTTTTTATTTTATTTATTTTATTTATTTATTTATTTATTTTTTGGGGATATTATTTTTTAATGTGAACACTTACAGCTGCTAAGTATTCCCAGGACTGTCTTTACCACAGCCTATAAATTTTGGTATGTTGTGCTTTCATTTTAATTTTTCTTAAGTTTTAAAAGTTTTTCTTGTGATTCCTTTTTTCTTGTGATATCTTCTAAAAGATACTTTATAGGATTTCAGTCTCTTAAAATTTAGATTTTTGTTGTTGTTGCCTAGTATATGGCCTGTCCTGAAGAATGTTCCATGAGTACTTGAGAAAATTGTGTATTTTGCTCTTGTTGAGTAGAGTGTTTCATGTATGTTTTTAAAATTCAGCTTGTTTCCTTCTTAATCTTCTGTCTGGTGGTTCTATCTATTATTGAAGTTGTGTGCTGAACCTCCTACCATTACTGTAGAGTTGTTTCTTTTTATCTGTCATTGTTTGCTTCAGATTGTGCTCTTGTGTTTGGTGAATTGAATTTAGTGAACGGACACTTTTATCATTATACGATGTCCCTCTTCACCTCTTCTAATAGCTTTTGACTTACAGTCTCTTTTGTCTGGCATATGTCTCTTGTTATTGTTTGCATAGGAAATCTTGTGCAGTTTTTTCACTTAAATTTTAACCTATGTATGTTCTTAGAGCTATAGGGCCATCATTTTTTTTTTTTTTTTTTTGCTTTAAATACATTCTGCCTGTGTCTGTTTACATTTATTTATTTTCAAATTTTTATTTAAATTTAATTAGTTCACTTAGAGTGTAAGGCTAGCGTTAAGTGTCGAATTTAATATGCAACACCCAGTGCTCATCACAACAGGTGCTCTCCTTTATCACCATCACCTATTTAACCCATCCCCCTGCCCGCCTCCCCTCCAGTAACTGTTAGATTGTTCCAGAAAGTTAATAGTCTGTTTCTTGGTTTGCATATTTTTATTTTTATTTTATTTATTTATTTTTTTAAAAGATTTTATTTATTTGAGAGACAGAGATCACAAGTAGGCAGAGAGGCAGGCAGAGAGAGAGGAGGGAAGCAGGCTCCCTGCTGAGCAGAGATCCTGATGCGGGGCTGGATCCCAGGTCCCTGGGATCGTGACCTGAGCTGAAGGCAGAGGCTTTAACCCACTGAGCCACCCAGGTGCCCCTGGTTTGCATATTTTTAAAATTACTTATTTCTTACTCCTGTGTTCATCTGTTTTGTTTCTTAAATTCCACATAAGAGTGAAATAATATGGTATTTGTCTTTCTCTGACTGACTTATTTCACTTAGTATAATACTCCCTAGCTCCATACATGTCTTGCAAATGGCAAGATTTCATTTGGTTTTATGACTGCATAATATTTCATTGTGTATGTGTGTACACACACACACACACACACACACCCCCATACCTTCTTAAACCATTTACGTTTAAAGTAATTACTGATAGGGAAGGCTTACTATTTTCATTTTGTTAATTATTTTCTGCATGTCTTATAACTGTTTCATGTTTTAACTTACTTTTTCCCTTTGTGTTCATTATTTTTAGTGATCCGTTTTGATTTTATTTCCTTTTTGTATATTCTGTAGGTATTTTTTTTGGTGGTTCCACAGTAATTACATATAATATCTTAATGTATAAGAATATATCTTAAACTGATACCTACTTTAATCCCATACAATAATTTCACTTTTTTACAGCTTGCCTCCCCAACTTTGTTATTGATGTAACAGATGACATTTTTACACATTATATACCTATAAACAGAGTTACAATCTTTAAGTTCTTTTGTTTTTTAAACTTTAATTAAAAATAAATTTATAATTTATAAAATTACATATATTATGTATAATATAGAAAATTATATAAATAAAAATAAATATAAAATTAAAATTAAATTAGATTTAAATTAAATAAATATAAAATTAAATAAAAATTTAAATTAAATTTCAGAAAATAAAGAATAAAATATGGAGTTACAAAGTAAAATTATAATAGTTTTCATATTGTCCATGTACTTGCCATTACTGGAGAACTTTATATTTTTATACAGCTTTGAGTTACTACCCAGCATTTTTTTTTTTTTTTTTTTTTTTTTAAGATTATTTGGGAGAGAGCATGTGTGTGCATGAGTGCAGGGAGGAGCAAAGGGAGGGAATCTTCAAGCTGATTCCCTATTGAACACGGAGCCCAGTGCTGGGCTGATCTCATGACCCCTGAAATCAGGACTTAAGCTGGAACTAAGTCAGACACTCAACTGATTGAGCCACCTAGGTGCCCGATGCCCAGCGTCCTTTCTGTTCAACCGGACGGACTCTAAGATTTCTTATAAGACAGATCTATTGTTCATGAACTCCCTCAGGTTTTGTTTATCTGAGAGTATCTTAAGATTTTCCCATTTTTTAAAAAAGATTTTATTTATTTATTTGACATACAGAGATCACAAGTAGGCAAAGAGACAGAGAAGAGGAAGCAGGCTCCCCGCTGAGCAGAGAGCCCGATGTGGGGCTCGGTCCCAGGACCCTGGGATTGTGACCCGAGCCGAAGGCAAAGGCCTTAATCCACTGAGCCACCCAGGCGCCCCGAGATTTTCCCAATTTTTGAAGTACATGTAATACTTTGTTGAATATAATGTTCTTGGTTGACTTTTTTTTTTCTTTAACCACTCTAAATATATCATTCTCTGTGAAGTTTCTGCTGAGAAATCCAGTGATAATCTTCTTGAAGATCTTGTGTAGATGTCAAATCACTTTTGCTTTTAATATTCAGTGTTGCTGATGATCATGTTTCTTGGTTGAGATTCTTGGATTTCTGTATACATAGCTTTCCTCAAATTTGGGAAATTTTTGGATGTCACTTCAACTAAGCTTTCTGCCTCTGTCCTCCTTTTGGGACTCTCATAATGCTATTGATGCATTTAAACATGTTGCTCCTAAGTCTATTTGACTCTGTTCACTTTTTTCTTTTTCTTTTTTCTTTTCTTTTCTTTTCTTTCTTTCTTTCTTTCTTTTTTTTTTTTTTGCCATCACTGCATTTTCAGGTGATCAGTTTTCAAGTTTGCTAATTCATACTTTTGTCTGTTGGAGTCTGTTTTGGATGTTCTCTGGTGAAATTTTCAATTCAGTTATTCCTTGTACCTCTGTTGGGGTATGTGTGTGTTTTCTCTGCCTTTGTTCAAGATTTTTCTTGTTGTTTCTGGCTTAATTTACATACAGCATTGTGTAAGGTTAGGGTGCACAACATATTGATTTGCTTCATGTGATTTCGGTGGTAGCTTCACTAACATCTCTGTCATGTCACATGATCATCATTTCTTTTTTGTTCAGACATTAGAGATCTAGTGTCTTTGCAACTTTGAAATACATGGTACAGTATGGTTGGTTATAATGCACTGTGGTGTGCATTAGATTTCCAGAACTTAATTATTTCCTAGTTGCAAGTTTGTATCTTTCAACGTAATTTCCCCCATGTCCTAGCCCCTAGTAAACAGGATTCTACTCTCTGTTTTTAAGAGTTCAAGCTGTTTAGATTTTACATATAAACAATATCATATTATATTTCTCTTTCTATGTCTAAGCATAATGCCACCGAAGTCCATCAATGTTGTCACAAATGGCAGGATTTCATTCTTTCTCATGGCTGAATAATTTCTGTTGCATGCATTTATATCAATATCTTATCTTTATCCATTCATCTGTTGATGGACAGTTAGGTTGTTTCCTTATCTTGGCTCTTGGGAAAAATGCTGCAATAAACACTGGAGTGCAGATAATCTTTTCAACATCCTAGGATTTTTTTTTTTTTTTTTTTTTTTTTTTGCCCCTGTACCCAGAAGAGATATTTCTGGATCATATTCAAGTTTTTTGTTTTGTTTTGTTTGTTTTTTTGATTTCCTATAGTTTGGTTATGATATGCTTAGTTGTAAATTTTTTGTTATTTCCCTGCCTTGTGTTCTCTGAGTTTTCTGGATCTGTGGTTTGGTGTTTTTAACATTAATTTTGGAAATTCATCAGTCATTACTACTTCATATATTTATTTTGCTTCTCTTTTTTACCTTTTGGTATTCCTGTTACGCATGTTACAGCTTTTACAGTTGTCCTGCGGTTCTTGGACATTACTATTTTTTCTTTTATTTTTCTCCTTGCATTTCAGGTTGGGAAATTTATATATATGTATTTTCAAGCTCACGGATACTGGATCTTATAAATTTTCTGTTGTTCATTACAAGTGTATTTAAATACAGCTCATTTTTTTCATACTTGTATTTTATGCAGCTTTACTAGAGTCCTGTTATTTGTATATTTCTGAATAAAATGTTTACATTACAGTGGGCTATAACCACTGAGGTGAAAATATACAATAAATGATGTTTTGGTCAAACATAACATTCTTAGACTCTAAGTTGAAGAATGAGGGTGAGCTAATAAGATTACCAATTATTTTGTTTTCTATATGCACATCATTTATATTTTTTCTTTCATTTATAACATTTAAGGATGAAGTATGCCTTTTTAAAATGAAAGATACTTTAATATTACTTTTTAAATCTTTTTTAGGAGCTGTGGCCTTGAAGAATCTTGAAATTAAAGAAAATGCTCTGGTAGGTTTTTTTTTTTTTTTTTTCCTTCCGTCTTAGGTTCTATTTATTTTAGAAAGAAAGAGTGTGAGGTGGGGAAGGGTAGAGGGAGAGGGAGAGAGAATCTGCACAGATTATTCGCTGCTGAGTGGGTAGCCTGATGCATGGCCCAATCCCGTGACCCTGAGATCATGACCTGAGCCAAAATCAGGAGTCAGACCCTGACTGAGCCCCCAGGTACCCCTGTGGTAAGTTTTGAGTATAAAAAATGTGTAATGTCAGTGCATTTATAACTATGTAGACTTCTTGATTTACTTTGTTATCTTAAATTATTCAAGCTTTGAGAAAACCTTTTGAAAATAATTTTTGCAAAATGTGGATTTTATAAAGTGGACTTTTCTTCTCCTTAAAAAGCACAAACTGACAGTGTAATTTTCCCCATTAAAAATATTCCTAATTTTTTTTCTTTCTAGATGATTTTATTTTAAATGGTTAATTGACCTTTTCTATGGTCTTCAAGTTTTTTTTTTTAATGCCACGGTAACCATTTTTTTACCCAAGAATTCAGTGATACTAATTAAATTTATGATTTGTACAACTATCAACCAATATCTTTTTCTGTAACTTTTCCCATAGGTCAAAGGAAGCCCTATAACCATTAAGAAATAAGTCCCTATTCCGGTTCTGTGTAGACCCTGTTAACCGCTAATCTACTTTCTGACTCTCTGAATTTGCCTATGCCATGTAGCTCACATAAGTAGAATCATGCTGTGTTTGCCATACTCTATTCAACGTTTTTCACTTAGCATAATTCCTTTAAGGTTTGTCCATGTTGTTTGTATCAGAACATTATTTCTTTCCGTGGCTGCATAATTCCACTGTATCTATGTGCAGCGTTTTCTTTATCCATTCATATATTGATGGACACTCCAGTCGTTTCTGCCTTTTGGGTCTTGTGAATAATGTTGCTCTAACATTGGCAATATACATGTCTGTTTAGTTACCTATTTTCAGTCCCCGTGGGTAAACGCCTATTAGTGGAATTGCTGGATTTTATGGTAATTTTGTGTTTAGCCTTTTCAAGAACTGCCACTCTGTTTTCCATGGTAGCTGAACCATTTTATATTCCTATCACCAACACAGGTAGTTTCCAGTTTCTCTACATTTTTGCTAATGTTTATTTTTTTAGTATTCTTTAAAAAAATTTTTAAATATAATCTCTCCAGTATGGGGCTCAAATTCATGACCCCAAGATCAAAAGTCACATGCTCTACTGACTGACTCAGCCAGGCACTATTTTTTATTTTTTGATAATACCTTAATAGATACCTTCATAGATAACTTAAGATATTTATATCTTAATAGATATAAAGTGGTATTTATTTTCCCATATCAGAGTATGATTTGCTAAACTTATCCTCATGCCTTATGCCTCTGTTGGCTATGTCCTTTGATGTTCTAATATTTTTAATCTCAGTGAAATTTCATCTGTTTTATTTTGTTGCTCATGTCTTTGTTACATCCAAGAAATCGTTGCCAGATCTGATGTCAAGATTTTACCAAATTTTTCTTCTAAGGGTTTTGTAGTTTTAATTCTTATGTTTAGGTCTTATATTGATTTTGAGGTAATTTTTATATGCAGTTATAAGGTAAGTGTCTAAGTTCATTTTTTATGTGTGGATATCGAGTTTTCTCAGCATCACTTAATGAAAAAGTCATCCTTTTCCCTGATGGATGGGGAGAAATATTTTTGAGGATATTTTTTGCAAAATGGAGTTTTAACCTCTCTGTGAGGACAAACTTTTAGTGAAATTACCTACCTTCCCTCCTCCCCCCATACAGTGTAAAAGCAGTATGATTTTGGTATGGGTAACTTAGGTGGTCTGTATTACTGTAGAGCTTTTCCCCTATTTACTTAAAAATGATTAGTCTCCCTGAATTTTGTGGATTTGAGAATATTACAGTTATGTATCTTTAAATTTAAATAGGTGTTAAGGGTAAAAAAAAGGTGTGAGTTAACGTAAACACTTTAAATAATTTTGGGAAGGAAAAAAGCGTCCTCTATTTTGTTGGCCTGTATATGTACTAATATTTTATATATGATGTTTTTGTAGAGTCAACTGGATGTACCTTTCAAAGTTAAAGTTGGTCATATAGGTAAGCTGTGCTTATTATTTGAATGTCATGCTTGCTGGGCATAGAGTAAGAATTATATACTTAGTATCTTTTTAATGTGATATTTTTAATGTTTCTGAGTACTAATTGAAAAATCATATATTCTCATCTGGGTGGAACTTAGTTGTGTAACTTAAAAGTACCATGTGGTCCATATATCCCTTGATTAAAAACTCTGAATTTATACATCTTGTTAAGTGTTAAAAATGATTTAATTGAGAGTCAGTTTGTTTAATAGCATAACTATCTCGGTTTCTTCGGTTTCTGACTAGTTACTGCTGTACTCTGATAGATCGTGGGTCTGCGGTCTAAGGAGTCAGGTCTGCATCTTCCAGGCAGTGTGGCTGGGGACAAGTCAGAAACTTAGTTTCTGAGGTAGTTTGCATGCCTCTGTCCTAGCACCTGTCATTCTTTAATATCATTATTTATTTTTTTCTTCTATTAAAACAGCACGTTTCTTAAGTTGGTTTAATTTTTACTCTCACCACTTAATACAATACCTGGCAAATAGTAGGGACACAATTTGTTGAGTGAAAGAAGTATACATTTCCAAATGAGTAGTATAGGATTACAACTAATTTTATAGAAACATGTTTTCCAGGATTTTATTTATTTGGGAGAGAGGAGAGAGAATGATTTGAGGAGGGGCAGGAGAGAGAGAATCTTTGGCAGACTCTCGTGAGTGCAGTCAGTGGAGGGGCTTGATCCTATGACCTTGAGATCATCAGCTGAGCCAAAACCAAGAGTCAGACACTCAACTGATTGAGCCACACAGGTGCCCCTCCCCCTGCTATTGTTGAGTGTTGTAAATCTTATGCTCTTTCAAAGTTCCCTCATTTAGCAAGCAAAATTATATATGTAGCAAGTATAAATACATACATATTTTAAAAGTAGTTATATTTATGTGGAAGATTTTTGGAATTGCCTTTTTTACTATTTTTGTGTATTTTCCAAATTTTCTGAAAGTATAAACTCAAGTTTTATGAAAGTACTTTATACTGAGAGAAAAAAATTTTTTGGGTCAAGATTTACTGGTGAAAATGGAACATTATTGACATGGTATGTGTTTCTTTGATTACTTAATGCTATTTTGTCATTGTTCTCTTTCTTTTGTTTATTTACTTTTTTGGATTCTTAATGGATATGTATGTGTGTAAGCAGTCTACCTGATAATCATATTTGTCAATTATTTTTTCTAATGTGTTCATTCTGGTTATATTTTGGACTGTACACAAATTTGAAATGGTCATTATCTTCTCTGATTTTATAATTTAGAAAGTCATCTGTCTTTTAGAAATCAGATGGTTTGGTTCTTTTTCTCTGGACTGATATCGTAAGATGAAATCCTTTTTTCAATTTGGATTTTTTTTAAGCATGGAATTTTGGGGTTATGTAATGAGATATGTCTATGTAGATTTTTTTTTTTCCCTTCCCCAGTTACTAACTAGTTAATGTAGCCGTTGTGTTGTTAATCGTTCCCTTGCCAATTATGACAGCTATTTCTAAGTTATTTGACTCAGGCTTTCTAAAAAATTTTAAAGTATTTTAAAACTATTATGAAAGTTTTATTTTTATCCCCTCCTCCTCACCTCTATTTTCACAAGAGTAGAATCAGTATAATGAATACCTTACATCATATTTTTTTAGTTCAAGAAATCTAATGCTTTAAAAAATACTTTGCAGATAGATTGTAGTAAAACATTTTCATTAGTTTGAATGATTTTCTAATCTTGTCCACGGTCTTTGATAATTACCATAGAAATCTGCACATACACTTGCAATGATATTCATACACATATATTATGTATATAGTCTATATGTGAAAAATACACTTTTCAGTTTTATAGTCTACACTTTGAAAGTGTCATATAAATACAGTGATTTAGAGTATGAGCTGGGGAAATCAGAATTATAATAACAAGGGTTGTTGGTTAATTGCAGAAGAATACTAATGTTTGTAGTGAAGATTGTCATAAAGAGAAACTTATAAATTTTTAGAATATCATTTGGTAGATTTTCCAACAGTACCGATAGACATGATTTCCAGTCATTACAACAAAGGCTTATTGTTTGTGGTTGTAAAATAGCTTTCTGTAAAGTGACTCAGCTTGTCACTTTGTTAGTTCTTCGAATGCCTGATAGAAAATAGGCCGGCCAAAGGAATATTGAAAAAGAAAGCCAAAGTTGGTGGCATCACAATTCCAGACTTCAAGCTCTATTACAAAGCTGTCATCATCAAGACAGTATGGTACTGGCGCAAAAACAGACACATAGATCAATGAAACAGAATACAGAGCCCAGAAATAGACCCTCAACTCTGTGGTCAACTAATCTTTGACAAAGCAGGAAAGAATGTCCAGTGGAAAAAAGACAGCCTCTTCAACAAATGGCACTGGGAAAATTGGACAGCCACGTACAGAAAAATGAAATTGGATCATTTTCTCACACCACACACGAAAATAGACTCAAAATGTATGAAGGACCTCAATGTGAGAAAGGAATCCATCAAAATCCTTGAGGAGAACACAGGCAGCAACCTCTTCGACCTCAGCTGCAGCAACTTTTTTCTAGAAACATTGCCAAAGGCAAGGGTAGCAAGGGCAAAATGAACTATTGGGACTTCATCAAGATCAAAAGCTTTTGCACAGCAAAGGAAACAGTTAACAAAACCAAAAGACAACTGACAGAATGGGAGAAGATATTTGCAAACGACATATCAGATAAAGGACTAGTATCCAAAATCTATAAAGAGCTTAGCAAACTCAACATCCAAAGAACAAATAATCCAATCAAGAAATGGGCAGAAGACATGAACAGACATTTCTGCAAAGAAGACATCCAGATGGCCAACAGACACATGAAAAAGTGCTCCACATCACTCAGCATCAGGGAAATCCAAATCAAAACCACAATGAGATACCACCTCACATCAATCAGAATGGCTAAAATTAACAAGTCAGGAAATGACAGATGCTGGTGGGGATGTGGAGAAAGGGGAACCCTCCTACACTGTTGGTGGGAATGCAAGCTGGTGCAACCACTCTGGAAAACAGCATGGAGGTTCCTCAAAAAGTTGAAAATAGAGCTACTCTACGACCCAGCAATTGCACTACTGGGTATTTACCCTAAAGATACAAATGTAGTGATCCGAAGGGGCACGTGCACCCGAATGTTTATAGCAGCAATGTCCACAATAGCCAAACTATGGAAAGAACCTAGATGCCCATCAACAGATGAATGGATAAAGAAGATGTGGTATTTATATATAATGGAATACTATGCAGCCATCAGAAGAAATGAAACCTTGCCTTTTGTGACAACGTGGATGGAACTAGAGGGTATAATGCTTAGCGAAATAAGTCAGTCGGAGAAAGACAACTATCATATGATCTCCCTGATATGAGGAAGTGGAGATGCAATGTGGGGGGTTTGGGGGGTAGGAAAAAAATAAATGAAACAAGTCAGGATTGGGAGGGAGACAAACCATAAGAGACTCTTAATCTCACAAAACAAACTGAGGGTTGCCAGGGGGAGGGGCGTGGGGAGAGTGGTGGGGTTATGGACATTGGGGAGGGTATGTGCTATGGTGAGTGCTGTGAAGTGTGTAAACCTGGTGATTCATAGACCTGTACCCCTGGAGCTAATAATACATGATATGTTTATAAAAAAAGAAAATAGGCTGGCAATAAATGTGGTTGAATGAATAATATTTTTTGTCCTTATTCTAAAAATTCATGTAGGTAATCTCAATCTTACAATTCCGTGGAAAAACCTGTATACTCAACCAGTTGAAGCTTTTCTGGGAGACATTTATTTACTCATAGTGCCTTCTTCTAGTAAGTCAACTTTTAAACATTATAACTTAAAATACTTTTATTTGTGAGTGGAAGAATCTTTATATTTGATAATTATACTCAAAATACTTCTGGTGAATTTTTTGAGATACTTCTATATTTAAATTAGCATTCAGAAATTCACATTAAATTGATTTTTACTCCAAATTATTGCAGACTTTGAATTAGTGATTATTTTCAAGGATATATTTTAGAATGGTTATGCTTAAAGTAACTAAGTATTCTTTATTATGCTTCCTGTAGAAATAAAATATGATCCTTTAAAAGAAGAAAAACAACTCTTGGAAGCAAAACAACATGAACTTAAACGAATAGAAGAAGCAAAACAAAAAGTAGCTGATCAAGGTAAAGGAAACAGTAAATAAAAATGATAATAAGAAAAAGAGAAAAGACCTAAATATCACATATGAATATTATTTGTCTCTGGAGGCATTGAAATTATTTAACAAATGAGGGACTCTTATTATGTGGGGAATTTTAATGTGGTTTGTATATTTTATTGTGTTTACAGAAATTTTATAGAAACTTACCCTATGACAAGTGTAAGGTTAGTTTTTAACTATAATAATTAATTTTATCAAATATATTTTGTTTTCTAGCTTTAAAAAAATATCCCATTATATCAATTCTTAATTTTTTGGGCGTACCTAGTCCTTTGATATATTTATGTTTTCCCAAATCTGTTTGTTTACTCTCTGGGTTCATATATTTTCCTGTTCAGCCTAGACCAGAATAGTCCATTACTTCAACTCTTCGATTTTCTCAGTGGAAGGGCTGTCCTCCAGAAATCTCCTTCCCTTCCCCTTGCGCAGTGGTCACTATCACTTGGTACTTTTTTGTACTTTGTTCTCTCTAGAGAAGCTTTCTCCTTAGTATGGAAATACACTGTAGTATGTCTTATCTTCAAACACAAAATGATCTTCCGAACCCAGTTTTATCTGTTTACCTTCCGTTCTCCCTCCTTCATTTAATAGCTAACCATCTTACAAATATATGTATACTTACATCGCCAACCTTGCCATGCATTTATTTGTTCAATAAAAAAGTGAAATCCAGAATAAACATTTCACCTTTTGACAAAGAGGTGAAAACATTAAAGGAGATTTAACAATAATTTCTGGCGACACTTCTTATATTGTTTTTTCTTCTCTCAGTTCTTTCATATCTTATGTAGTTGTTCACCACTATGCCCAGTCATCTTTTTCTTTAGTATTTTTTTATTGTGGGCGCCTGGGTGACTCAGTTGGTTAAGCGTCTGCCTTCGGCTCAGGTCATGATCCTGGAGTCGTGGGATCAAGCCCTGCATTGGCTCCCTGCTCAGTAGAGAACCTGCTTCTCCCTTTGCTCCTCACCCAACTCATGCTATCTTGCTCACTTGCTCTCTCTGAAAGAAATAAATAAAATCTTAAAAAGTCTGGCTAGTAGATCTGTCATCAGATCTTTCTCAGGAATAGTTTTGGTCACTTTTTTATCCTTTCAATGGGCCATACCTTCCTGTTTCTTTGTATGCCTTGTGATTTCTCATTAAAATCTGGATATTTGGATATAATAATGTGATACCTGTTAAAATGAAATTCACCCCATTACTGTGGTTTTCTTTTTTTTTTTTTTTAATGTTTTTGTTGTTTATTTTTCATTTTTATAGGATGTCCCTAGTCCAAGGATCAGTCTGAGGTGTAAATGTAAGGTATTCTCAGGTCTTTTCTAAGCCTGAGCCTATTCCTTTTCCCCACTGAGCTGCCCAATGCCCTGATATTAGGTTTTTTTCAGGGTTGGAGCTTTTCCTCTATGAGGAAAATGAGAAAAAAGAACAAAAGAGTTTAAATGTTGGTGAAATAATAGGTTGTGGACTCTGAGCAGGGTAAGGAATTGAGAAGGAAACTACTGGATGGGGGAATGAAAATTTTGCATTGAACTGAATGAATAGATTCATAGAGCAAAGGATTTTATTAGGATGTGGTAACCAAATCAAGTAAAAAAAAATGCTGTGTCTTCAGAGAGCTTATATTTTGTTTATTTACTAATTCTAAAGTCCTATTATAGTTAAATATATTTACTCATCTGTTCACTGAATCTTGGATTTGATGTAAATATATCTTCATCAGCTTATCCTCCTGGGCAGTTGAATTAGGGAGTAGTAGGTCATTAGAAGAAAAGACAGATAATATGTGTGTACAGGTGGAACAGGCCTAGAAATAGGAAATGAGGTAGTTTTCGTTGGCATTTTCAAATGGGGGAAAGGAGGAAAGTAACTCGTGGTTATCAAAGGCGTATTTTTTTCAAAGATTATTTATCTTAGATCATGGGGAGGAGCAGCAAGAGAGGAGGGAGAATCGTTGGGCAGATTCTCCTCTGAGCACAGAGCCCAATGCAGGGCTTGATCCCAGGACCCCAAGGTCATGACTGGAGCAGAAATCAAAAGTTGGATGTTCAACTGACTGAGCCATCCAGGTGCCCCTCCCTCAAAGGCATGTTAAAAAAAAGAAATTAGGAACTTCATTCCTTTATTCTGTCTATCCCCTGGAAAGTTTTGAAACTGGAAGCAGTTAATACCTTTTTTTTAGAAAATGAAACAAATGAATTTCATTCCCTTGAGAGGAGAAAGGGAAAGAATCTTATATCTTCATGTTGGATTCATCAGCAAGAGAAATGTATTCAACTGTTTTATACATTGAACCACATACAACTTGTAATAATATCACTAATTTTAAGAGAGATGCCTACTTCCTGCTATTTCTGGCTTTTATAATTTAAGACCCATTATAATTCTTACCTAATAATCTTCATTGTTTTCCAAGGCTTTTTGTACTCAGGTATAGTTAACAGAGGTTGTAAAATTTAATGGCAGTAAGTTTGGTTGGCTTTAGTTTCATTAAAAAAAATAGATTTTGAAAATTATGTATTTGGTTGCCTTTGAAAGTCTCTTGGTATGGAAGACTTTGGGAAAGCAGGCTCTTAGTGTTCTGTTTACAAATACAGATTTTTTTCTTTAACATGGCAATGTTATCTTGAAATGTGAATACTTATACAGTATATTTTTCAGTCAAGTTAAAGAATATTTGCTATTGTAGACAAACTTCGGGTGGAAAAACAGGACACTTTTACAGAAAAATTAATTACTCAGATCATAAAAAATCTTCAAGTGAAAATTTCCAACATCCATATTCGTTACGAGGATGATGTAAGTATTTTAATAGGTGAAACTTGTTTTTTTATGTTTTTATTTTACTGTTTATTGACACCTGCTCTGTAGTGGTCAACCTATTGGATGCTGAAAAGTGGAGGGACACAGAGCTGAAAATGACCTGATCTTTCTTTTCTGTAATTATAGGTTTAATTCACAGTGTTTATTGCCTTGACTGCACTTTCCTAAAATGTTCAAAAATCAGATAATGAAGGAAAAGGCCTTTTTATATTATGGTCACCTTTGATGGTTGGGCATTATGAATTTAGTCGATATGTATTTTTAAAATACTTTATAGTTACCTCCTGGAAATTACTCTGGTGTAGGAATCAGTAGAGCTAGATTTAGATTATCTCAAATAGATCCTGTATTCTCTCTGAAACGCAGTTATTGACATCTCAGAGTACTGTTGTGCATGCGGTCAATTGATCAATAAGCTTTTTTTATAAACTGAAAAACATGCAAATTTATTGCATAGTAACACATTGATACTTGATACCTTAATTAGTATTTGGAAAAATATAGGAGTAAAAGTTGTAGAAAGTAGTAAAATGTAAAAAAAAAAAAAAAGTAGTAAAATGTTTTTGAATGTTTGAGATATAGAATATTTCCCAGGAAATGAACTTTTTCAATAAAATGAATTTTAACTACTAAAAATCCGAGTAAGATTTGCTCTTTCCTCTTTAGATCACAAATCGAGACAACCCGCTGTCATTCGGTATTTCCCTTCAAAATCTCAGCATGCAGGTACTTCATTTGAAAAGTAATTTAGGGGAAGGGAGGGAAAAATGAAACAAATTGAAAACAGAGAGGGAGACAAACCATAAGAGACTCTTAATCTCAGGAAACAAATTAACGGTTGCTGGAGCGGTGGGGGATAGATGAGATGAGGTGGCTGGGGGACGAATATTGGGGATGAATATGTGCTGTGGGGAGTGCTGTGAATTGTGTAAGACTGATGAATCACAGACCTGTACCCCTGAAACAAATAATACATCGTATGTTAAAAAGAAAAAAAAAAAAGAAAAATAGATAAATTGAAAGGGGAAATTTTTTTTTTTTTTTTCAAAATAAAAACTTGGGGGAAAATGAGCAAAATGTAAAATACAATAACATGATATAGCCAAAAAAAATTTAACCCTATTATGTAGTATAGCTCATCTAACTATTAATTACTGTTTGTGTGTGCTAGCATCAGAAGTAGTTGTCTATATAGAATTACTATAGAAAGTGCGTAGGCTGGATTGGAATTGGGGGTACGGAGGTTAGCATTTCAAACGGTTGACAATCAAATTTAGTTTAAAATATGAGGGCCTGTTATTTGCAGATTAGAACATTCAAGACATTTCTTAAAATATGTTTCTTAAATAAGTACAAAGTAAAAGTAATAAATGTTCATTTCAGAAACTTTGGTAAGTCATGAAGAGCATAAACCAATCACTCATTTCCTCACTGCCATTATTAATATTGTGGCAAACTTTCTTCCTGTCCAGTTTTTCAAATTGAGGAATTTTTAAAGTATAAGAGCAAGTAGAGGCTTGCATCCAGAATGGACAGTTGTGGAATTTGGCATTTGGTTTAAGTTTTAAATACTTTATTTTAAAGAATAAACTGTTAGGAATAAAGTCTAATTCTGTTTTGTTTTCTACTCTTCACCCTTCTCCCAGAGAGAAACACCATAAGTGATATTTTATGTGATTTTTCTATAAATTTTCATTCTTCTCATCATAGTGCTTTTGACATTTACTTGTGTTGCTACACATAATTCAATTTAATTGCTGTGTAGTATTTCATTACTTGCTTTTATTTGTTGTATCCATTGGGTTTTTGTATATAATTTCTTCTTAAAACATGGATCCACTACAAGCAAAATAAATAAGAAAAGCCAAATGAAAAGTTATCGAATGAAGTTGGGTGGGGTAAACTGTCAAATGTTGCTGTAAGTTTGAAAAATAAGGATGGAGAATGAGCCATTGGCTGTGGTGGTGTGGAGGTAGTGGGTAACTGTGACAGCAGTGGTGTTCACCACCACCTTTGGGAGACCTTGGAATCTAGTGTCCTAGCCCAGACCTATTCAGTTAGAAACTCAAGTGGGGGCCAAGCAGTCTAAGTTCTAGAAAGCCCTCCAGGTGATTCTGATGCAACGCTCAAGCTTGAAAATTTGACTGCCGTCATCTCTTCAGTTCTCTACTAATAAATGAAAACCATCTTTGCAGAATAAGCATTTAAACACTGTATTCCACTCAGTGGCTTCTCATTGCTATTGGAATAAAGTCAGTAGTTTTGTTTTAAAATAGTTTATAATTGCTTTGTAGTGTGATCCCAGGTGACATCTGGTTTCACCTCTTTGCTTTGCATTATGTTCTCTGACCATACTAGGCTTCTTCAGTTCCCTGAACATTTTGCATATTTGCATATTTTTCTACTCTGAATCATATTCTTTTTTTTTTTAAAGCTTTTTTTTTTTTTTTTTAAAGATTTTATTTATTTATTTGACTCAGAGAGAGAGAGAGAGATCACAAGTAGGGGGAGCAGCAGGCAGAGAGATAGGGGGAAGCAGGCTCCCTGCTGAGCAGAGAGCCCGATGCGGGGCTCGATCCCAGCACCCTGGGATCATGACCTGAGCCGAAGGCAGAGGCTTTAACCCACTGAGCCACCCAGGTGCCCCCTGAATCATATTCTTTACTGACCTTAAAATCAGCAGTTTCTATTCGTATATCCTATATTGGACATCACTTTCTCCATTACACCTCTGATTTTGAGGCTCCTACCTCATTCTGAGAACTGTGTATTTAACCTCTACGGTGGCACTTGCCTGTTTGTAATTGCTTGTTCACTTTTTCATTCAGCAGTGAGCTCTTTGAAAGCAGAGGCTTTCTTGTGCTCAGTTAATATCCTTTCAATGAATGTTTCAAGAACATTTTTTGGGAAATTGGTCAAGGGCATGAATGGTGCAGTTCCATCAGTCTGCCATTTCATGTGTAAATAACACTTTCACTGTTAATTTTCTTTTTAGACAACTGATCAAAACTGGGTTCCATGTTTACATGATGAAACTGAGAAACTGTTTCGTAAGGTAAAATATTTTGTCGATCCATAGACTTAATAAAAGAAACTCAATTATTTGAGACTTCTGAAAATAGCATATGTTAAAGAAGAAAATGAGGCATGTAATAAATTTTATTTATTTTCAGTTAATCCGATTGGACAACCTTTTTGCCTATTGGAATGTGAAATCTCAGTTGTTTTACCTTAATGATTATGATGAATCATTGGTAAGTAAATCTTTTTGATATGTGTGTGTACACCTTTGTTGGTATCATACTTTGCATAAGGTTTTATTCATTATCATTTATTAACATACTGTAGTCTGGTCTCTTTTACTAGGCAAATCCGTTAGCATTTACAGAAATAGATGAATATATATGTGCCTGTACACATACATGTATAGATTTTTTTTTTTTGGTATAATAGACATGCAGCATTGGTATATATTAGTTTTATGTGTGCGCTGTTATGGTCCAGTACTTGTACATAATGTGAAATGATCACAGTAGGTCTAACATGCATTACCATACATAGGTAATTAAAGAACTTTTTTCTTTGGGTGAGTACTTTTAAGATTTACTCTCTCAGCAATGTCAAAATGTGTAGCACAACATTGTTAACTATAGTTGTCATTGCTGTACATTTACATATATCTCCATCACTGACTTGTTGTATAACTAGAAGTTCTTAACCTTTTGACTCCCTTTACACATTTTGCATATCTCTCACTCTACTTCAGACAACCACCTGTTTGTTTTCTAGTATCTGTGAGTATGAGGTTGGCCTTTTTTTTTTTTTTTAAGTATTCTACATATAATTGAGGTCAGATGGTATCTGCCTGAGTTATTTCACTTAGCATAAGGCCATCGAGGTTCATCCTTGTTGCAAATGGCAAGATTTCCTTCTCTTTAATAGCTGAATAATAATCTACTATATGTATGTATGTATGTATGTGTATATATATATATGTGTGTGTGTGTGTGTGTGTGTGTATACACAGTATATTTTCTTTATCCATTCATCTATCAATGGATTTTTTTTAAAAGATTTTATTTATTTATTTGACAGACAGAGATCACAAGTAGGCAGAGAGGCAGGCAGAGAGAGGGGGGGAAGCAGGCTCCCTGCTGAGCAGAGAGCCTGATGTGGACCTCGATCCCAGGACCCTGAGATCATGACCTGAGCCAAAGGCAGAGGCTTAACTCACTGAGGCACCTGGCTCCCCATCAATGGATTTTTAGATGGTTTCTGTATCTTGGCTATTATCATTAATGCTGTAGTGAACATAATGGTGCATGAATCTTTTCTATTTCATGGTTTTCGTTTCTTTTTTTTTTTTTTTTTTTAAAAGATTTTTATTTATTTATTTGACAGACAGAGACCACAAGTAGGCAGAGAGGCAGGCAGAGAGAGAGGAAGGGAAGCAGGCTCCCTGCTGAGCAGAGAGCCCGACGCGGGACTCGATCCCAGGACCCTGGGATCATGACCTGAGCCGAAGGCAGCGGCTTAACCCACTGAGCCACCCAGGCGCCCTGGTTTTCGTTTCTTTTAATAAATACTCGGAATTGCTGGATTGTATGGTAGTTCTTTTTAATTTTTTAAGGATCCTCCATACTGTTTTTCCATAGGGATTGCATCAATTTACATTTCCACCAACAGTGCATAGGAATTTCCTTTTCTTCGCATCCTTGCCAGCACTTGTTATTTCTTTTTTTTTTTTATAATAACCATTTTAACAGGTGATAGCTCATGCTTTTGATTTGTGATTCCCCTGGTTATTAGTGGTATTGAATACCTTTTCATTTGCCTTTTGGCTATCTGTATGTTCAAGAAATGTCTATTCAGTTCTTCTGCGATTTTTAAGAGTCTCATGCTCTACCGACTGAGCTAGCCGGGCGCCTTGTTCTGCCATTTAGAAATTGGATTTTCTGAAATTGGGGTGTATGAGTTGTTTATGTATTTTGAATATTGATCCCTTATCAGATAAATGATTTGCAAATATTTTTATGAGTTTTATGGTTTGAGAGCTTCCATTCAAGTCTTTTAATCTATTTTGAGTTAATGTTTGTGTATGGTGTAAGGTAGTGGTCCAGTTTTATTCTCTTGCATGTGGCTGTCCAGTTTTCCAAACACGACATATTGAAGAGACTCTCCTTTCCTCATAATATATTTTTGGCTTCTTTGTTATAATTTATTTATTTTATTTTATTTTTTTAAAGATTTTAATTATTTATTCGACAGACAGAGATCACAAGTAGGCAGAGAGAAAGAGGGGGAAGCAGGCTCCCTGCTGAGCAGAGAGCCTGATGCGGGGCTCGATCCCGGGACCCTGGGATCATAACCTGAGCCGAAGGCAGAGGCTTTAACCCACTGAGCCACCCAAGCGCCCCTTCTTTGTTATCATTTAATTGACCATATATGCATAGGTATATTTCAGGGCTCTTTATTCTCTTGCTATGTGTATCTGTTTTTGTGCCAGTGCCATACTGTTTTGATGACTATGGCTTTGTAATATAACTTGAAATCAGGAATTTGATGGCTCCAGGTTTGTTCTTTATCAGATTACTTTGGTTATTTAGGGTCTTTTGTGGTTTCATACATATATGAGGGTCTGGTGTTCTATTTCTGTGAATAATGCCATTGGAAATTTGATAGAGATTGCATGAATTTGTAGATTTCTTTGGATAGTATGGACTTTTTAACAGGATTATTTCTTGCAATATAAAGCATGGAGTGTTTTCCCATTTTTTTGCATCTTTAATTTCTCTCTTCATTATCTTACAGTTTTTGGTGTACAAAGCTTTCTTTACCTCCTTGGTTAAAATTTTTTTAATTAAAATACTTGTTTTATTGCTTTAATTACCTAAAGCTACAAAATGTAACACATTTCTTTATAGTAGTTTCAGTTAATTTTCTTTTTTAAAGTTTTTATTTAAATTCTAGTTGGTTAAGATATAGTGTAATATTGGTTTCAGAAGTAGAATTTAGTGATTCATCACTCACATGTAACACCCGATGCTCATTACTAGTGCCCTTCTTAATTCCCATCACTTATTTACCCATCCCCCACTCACCTCCCCTCTAGCAACCCTCAGTTTGTTCTCTATGTTTAAGTCTTTTATGGTTTGACTCCCCTCCCCCCCCTTTTTTTTTTCACCCCTTCACATATGTTTATCTGTGTTGTTTCTTAAATTCCACGTATGAGTATAGTCATATGGTATTTGTCTTTCTCTGACTTCCTTGGTTAAATTTATTCTTAGGTATTTTATTCTTTTTACTATAATTGTAAATTGGATTGTTTTCTTAATTTCCCTTTCTGCTACTGCATTATTAGTGTATAGAAATGCAGTAGAATTCTGTATAGTAAATTTGTATCCTGCAACTTGATTGAATTTATTTATTAATCTTAACAGTTTTGGTGGAGTCTTTAGGGTTTTCTGTATAGAATGTTGTGTCATCTACAGACAGTGACGGTTTTACGTCTTTTCCAGTTTGGGTACCTTTTGTTCTTGCTTAACTGCTCTGGCTGGGACTTGTAACGCTATGCTGAATAGAAGTGGCGAGAGTGGGCATCTTTGTCTTTTTCCTGATCTTAGAGGATGAGCTTTCAGTTTTTAACTGTTGAGCATGTTAGCTGTGGGTTCGTCATATCTGGCCTTTATTATGTTGAGGTATATTTCCCTTATACCTACTTTCTTGAGATTATCATGAGTGGATGGTGAATTTTGTCAGATTTTATATATGTGCCTGTACACAGATATGTAAAAACACACACTATATGTCTAAATGGTTCCTAGATTATTCTTTAATAGTGGGAGTTTAATGGGATATTATCTAACCACTTCAGTATTTTCCATAGCTAAGTCCTCCTGAGTTTTGAGTTATTTATTTTTTAAATTACTTTAAAAAATTTTTTTGTATGTAATAGGATTTTTGAAGAGTAAAGATACATTGGCATGAATATAAATAAAAGCAGTTTGTCTTTTAATAGGACAGCTTGAAGAAGGGCATTGTCTATCGAAATATTGTTCCAGAAGGTTATGATTTTGGTAAGTATGTCTTATAAAATAAGTGCAATTAAAATAATCCATATAAATTTTGAATGAGCATTGATAATGTCACTGTAATGTTTCATGTTAATTTTGTCATATAACTCAAGGTATTTATATATGCACAAAAACCAGTTACCTGTTCTATGCCATTCATTGTTGGGGAGCTTTTTGCTATATTTTGAAACTATAGGAAAGAAGAATGTCCAACAAGAGAGGATGTAATAAATGTGGTAAATCTCTAATTATTCAGTAATAATTATGCTCTTTTAAAGACCTTTTATGTGCAAATACAATTTAATAAGGCTAGTAGCTGCTATAGTCTGTAGTGTGATCTTACTGTTTTAAAAATGTATATTTAAAATTTTTCTTCATACTTTTTTCTGGTTCCAGATTTTCCAGAATGAACATGTAATACTTTTATAATCAGAAATGAGTTAACTAAAACTTCAAATTGAAAGGAGTACTATTTTTTTCTACCCTATAGGCACTCAATAAATACTAGTCAATGGATGGATAAATTATTTATTGGATTTGGTTGTCTGATTTCACCTACCAGTGATTCTTTTCTGTATTCTTCTACCTTCATGATTAAACTTTATTAATTTCCTGATGTGGCTATTTTTTTTTTAAGACTTATTTGAGAGAGCTCACATGCAAAAAGTAACTTGAAGCCTCACATTATGATTTTTTTGACCTCAAAACCTAAAAAGCATTTGCTATATTGATTCTAGTCTTTTCTGTGTCAGTTTCACAGCCTTATACTACCTGTCATCACTCCATTTCCCCTGTTAACCATCTGATGGCGGTGATTAGATAAATTTCTTGTCTTTTGTACATGCTGTGCTTATACTTGTAACCACATGTGCACGAGGTGGGGGATGGGCACGGGAGAGAGAGAATCTGGAGCTGACTCCCCATTGAGCATGGAGCCCCAGGCTACTGAGTGTGGAGCTCAAAGAGCTCAAAGCCGGCTTGATCTCACCACTTGAGATCATGACCTGAGCTAAACCAGGATTCGGGTGCTCATCCTGCTGAGCCAGCCAGACACCCTTGAAGTGACTCTTCTTGTTTTCACTCTTGAAACCAGTTGAAAGTCATGCAATAGGTATTTTATTTTCTAGATTTTTTTCTTCCTGAAAGGAAACATTAGTAACAGATGAGATTGTGTATCGTGTGTGTTGATGATTCTCCTATCATTTTAGGTTTGACTGATTTCTCCTTTGCCCTACTATCCTTTCCTGCTCCGTTCGTTAGTGAGGATCTGGTGAGAGAGAAACTACACAGTAATTTGAGCAGGGGAAGTTTAATATAAAGAATTACTATCAGAGGACTGGAGTGACAAGGGATTGGCTAATAGAAAGCAGAGAACTCTAAGGAATACAGGAATAATAGAAGGAACCACCCCCACCCTGGGACTAAAATAGAGTGCCCAGAGAACAGGGTCTGTCTGCCTCAACACTGAGATCTAGATCTTGTTGGAAAGGACATGACCAGGGCTCACGGACTGCCGGGAAAAGTCTGTGTGGTGCCATGCCACTAACTTGTTGGAACTTCAGCATTTTTCTTGGGGAGTTGTCTCACAGGAGGCACCTCCCTGCAGAATTGCCGTAGGGTGCTGGGAGAATTTGCTAGCTGCTGCTGGCTGCCAGGTACCTCAGCAGGCTAGTTCTGAAGACCTCTGTCATGCTGCAGGAGCTGCCTGCTGTAGGAGCCATTTGCTAGCATCTGGGCAGTGGAAAAGTCCTGGTACTGTAGGAGTCTGTGGAATGAGCCCTTTAGAACCAGGAACTCCCCTGCAGTAGCTCTCCAGTGTCCAGCTTTATGCTAGCTGCTAAAGAAAATAATAAAGGGCCCAAATCTAGTTTTTAGATTAAGCGGTGAAGGATGAATTTGGAATTCACAGCCAAATTGATAGTTGGTATAAAGCTTCTGGAGAGGGAAGGACTAAAGCTTTTTTTTTTTTTTTTTTTTTTAAAGATTTTACTTATTTGTCAGAGAGAGAGAGCGCACATAGGGAGAGTGGCAGGCAGACGGAGAAGCAGACTCCCTGCCGAGCTAGGAGTCCATTGTGGAACTCGATCCCAGGATCCTGGGATCATGACCTGAGCCAAAGGCAGATTCTTAACTAAGCCACCCAGGTGTCCCAGACTAAAGGCTTTTTTTGTTTGTTCTTTATTTAATGGGAGAGACAACAGTTTATTTATAGGCTGAGATCGGAATGATCTGTAGAATATGAAAAACAAATGAGCAAGAGAGAGGACGGATAATTTCTTTATGAGATATGGGTGAGAGGGGACAGGATCTCATGTACAAATGGAGTGCTTTGCCGCACAGAGGAACATGATTAGTTCATTTGTAAGACAGATTTTAGGTATAAGAGAAGTCCTTCTTCTAGTAGAGATGCTAAGAGTAGTGTATGGAATTTCTCTTATGAGTGGTTATTTTTTAATACCTGAGGTGTGGGCGTTTCTGGAGGGAAGAGAGGCTATGAAATAGTCTTGTAGGTAAACAGGAGAGTGAATTCACTAGAGTGGTGCTCTCAAAGTATGGTTCAGACTAGCAACATCAGTATTACTTGGGAACTTGTTAGAAATAGAAGTCCTAGGGCCCATTCTAGACATACTGTATTAGAACTTCTGAGAGTGAGCCTTGGCAATCTGTTTTAATAAGCTTTCCTGGTGATCTTGATTAATGACAGATTTTGGGAGCCACTTTGCTAGAGTAGGGGCTGGGCAGTTCTTTTTTTGTTTATTTTTTATTTTTTGGTAAAAGGCCAAATAGTAAATAATTTTCAGTTTTAAGGCCATATGTAGCCTTTGTCACATACTTTCCTTTGTTTCTTTTAAACAACTCTATAAAGATAAAGCTGTAAAAATCATTCCTAGTTTATTGGTTGTACCAAAACACACTATGGTATGCATTTACCTAAACGACTAAATGTGTGACTGCCTAGCACAGTGAGGACCTTTGGGTTTTATGACATTACAGTGAGACCAGTCTGTGTGATAGTGTACATTTTTGTTTTGTTTTGTTTTTCTAACCAAATCGAATTTCTCAGGTAGTTTACAGATGTAGAGTAAATGGAGAGGGTTTTTATCCAGAATTAGAGTTTTGCCTGGTAAGTGCTGACAAAGTGAGAAGACAGAGGAGTGAAAACTGAATGCAGGGAGATGATTAAAATAACTGATTATAGAATTTTAATAGGGTAGAGAGGGACCTGAGGACATGAAACGGAGGTGAAAGAGAAATGATGAAGATTAATGAATGGTCCGTCCCACAGGACCTGAAGGTTCAGTATTGGAGTATTGGAGAGCTAGGTGGTGGTGGTTGGATGGAGAGTTGGATGCTTAAGACTGAGTTTATGGAAAGGTCTAGCATATAGGAATGATAAGATCTAGTGGATGAAATAAGGGTGGACAAATCCAAGGTTCTGAGAGGCTATGGTTTTGGAAGGATTATTTGTATGTTGAAATCACTCAGAAATTAGTGTTGCCAGGAGCTAAAATCAGACTTGAAGGAGAGGTTGTAACCCAGGGATGGATAGAGATTGCAGCCAGGGAGACTATAAGGGATTGTGTAGTCTTGTATGTAACATAAGAAAGCTGGGGGAGAGGAGTCATTTTATTTTCAGATAGTGGTATTATTGCTGCGTACATACACTTTTTAAATTTTTTTTTCTTAAAAGATGTACTTATTTAGAGAGAGGCTGTAGGGGGGAGACACAGAGGGAGAATCTCAAGCCGACTGCACACAGATCCCAACGTTTGGCTCCATCTCACGACCCTGAGATCACTACCTAAGCAGAAACCAAGAGTTGAACCCTTAACTGATTGTGCCTCCTAAACACCCCTAAACTTTATTTTACTATTTCCTTCCACTTATGTATATATAAATTTTTCTTATTTTTTACTGTATAGTAATTTATAGATGTACCATGATGAATTTAACCAATCTCCATTTGCTGAGTATCTTCTTGGTCCACTCAGTTTCAAAGTGTATCTGAATTCTCAGTGTGTAAAAAAAAAAATTAAGTGCTGTGCCTTGGGAATGATTAAAACAAGAGGGACATACTGTGTTTTTTATAGATTAGCTTATAATTTAGCAGTTGATCTTAGTATAGATTCTGCTATTGTTTGTCTTCCCTGCAAGAATTCTTCTCTTTTTGAAACTAAATACAAAAGGTTGAGTTTAATCCATTTTAGATTATAGGTTGAGCCAAGAAGGTTATTCTGGGTTAACTCACTCATCTCACTTCTCCTTTTGCAAGTTAAAATGGGGCAGATGGATACATAGAAACTGATCAGAAATTCAGACATTATAATTCTATAATAGAAGTCAGTGATCAAATAAATCTTTTCTCTCAGCACTTTTAATGTGATTCCTTTAAACTGTATTTTTGTTAAGATTATTTTATTACACTGTTTTTGCCTTTTAGAGGTTGTTCCTACTTATAAGGATCATGTTGGTATTTTGAGGGGGAGTTAACTTAGGCTTCATTTACTTAAAGAAAATGTAAATTATAGGTAGGAAAAAGATACAAGAGTCTTGTTCATTAATTAAATGGCAGTTCATCTCACCAAATTATAGCAATGTGGAAATCTGGGAAAGAAGAGTATAAAAAATGAAAATCAGTATTTTCCGCTTCATCCCCTTTGTACTTTGGGACTCTTAAAATATAACTCAGTTTAACTTTTTAAAAATGTATATTATTTTTCAGTGTTTCGCCCCATATCTGCTAATGCCAAACTTCAGATGAATCGGCGATCAGATTTTGACTTCTCTGCCCCCAAGATAAACCTGGAAGTTGAGTTACATGACATAGCAATTGAATTTAATAAACCACAGGTGATTTTTTTTTAATGAAATTGTAAATCGTGAGTTATAATTTGATAAAAGCAGAACTAAGATTTTAAATGTATTTCAAACACAATGTTACATGGTAACATTTCCTTTAGAAAGTCAATAATTTAACTTTTTTTAACAATTGAACAAAAAATCTGAAACATTTAAGAGCCTTAATTTTTTCATCCTTCAGTATTTCAGTGTTATGGAGCTTCTTGAATCAATTGATATGATGACGCAAAATCTGCCATACAGGAAATTCAAACCTGATGTACCTCTTCACTATCATGCCAGAGACTGGTAAAATGACTTTTTTTTTTTTTTTTTAAATTGAAGTATAATTTGACATATTAGTTCCAGGTTTATAACATGGTGATTTGATATTTGTATATGTCATAAACTGATCACCACAATAAGTTTGGTTAAGTCACCACCACCATATATAAGGACAGATTTTTTTCTTTAGAACTTTAAAGGTATCTTAGCAACTTGCAGATATACGGTAGAGTATTAACTATTGTGACCATGCTGTATATTACATCCTTACTACTTATTTTATAACTAGAAGTTAGAACCTGTTAATCCCCTTCACCCATTTCACCCAGTGCCTGTGCCTCACCTCTGTCAACCACCAATCTGCTTTCTGGATCTATGAGCTCAGTTTTTTGGTTTTTGTTTTTTAAGATACCATATGTAAGTGAGACCATACTGTGTTCTCTTTCTTTGTCTGATTAATTTCACTTGGCATAATGTCCTTCAGGTCTACCCATGTAGTCATAAATAGTAAGATTTCATTCCTTTTTATGATGAATAATAATCTGTAGTTTATCTATATACCATATTTTCTTTATCCATTCATTCATTGATGGATATGTAGGTGGTTTTTGTATCTTTACTACTTTATTTAAATAATGCTGCATTTACTATCAGGGAACATACATCTCTTTGTGCTAGTATTTTCATTTTCTTTAGATAAATACCCAGAAGTAGAATTGCTTGATCTAAAAAAATTTAAGATTTATAAAATATAGTTTAAAAGTGAATTTATTGACTTTAAGAATGATTTTTTAAGATTCTCTTTAAGAGCAGTTACAGATTGTCATTTGATTTATGGCTTTTGCTTATTATGTTAATAAAATTGATTTAAGGGATTAAAAAAACAAAAATGGAGATACTGTAATACCATCAATTAACTGTATTTTTAGGATTATTAGAAACTATATCCTAGTTTGTGTTTGGCAATGTCTTTTTTGAAAAAAAGGCAAACTTTTGCATTAGATATTTTAAACCTATGTGATTAAAGTTGAAAATCAGGTTATGATTTTACTCATTCTAAAGTACAGCTCCTTTTTAAAATTCAGAAGTCTTGTTATTCCATTTATGAAGCTCTTGTTTTCTAGAAGTTGCAGTTACTCTTTCAGTTGACCTTTAGTTACTGTTCAGGTGACTAAAGTGCTATTTGCCAAGTAGTACTTCAATAGTCTTTCTGTAGAGCTATATTTTTTGTAACACAATTCAGTGATTTTGCTTGTTTTTACTCAGGAAAGAGGTAAGATTAATAATTAATGTAGTCTTAGTACGAACAGGGCTGGGAAAAATCAAGTGCCTAGGTAGTCCGCCATTTCCATGGTCTCTGTACTCTGTATGCTGTTTTGGAGTAGAAGCAGTTTTGTATTTCATACTGTTGGCTTGATGGTGTTAAGTGTGGGGTTTTGTTTTTGTTTTCTCACTAGGTGGGCTTATGCTATACATGGTATTCTTGAAGTAAATGTCTGCCCCCGGTTACGGATGTGGTCATGGAAGCATATTAGAGAACACAGGCAAAAAATGAAGCAGTATAAAGAACTGTATAAAAAAAAGATAACAACTAAGAAGCCAGCTGGTGAAATTCTCATCTCTTTGGAGGTCAGCATATTTAGAAATTATTGAACATTTTGTACTACATAATTCCTCATAATTTGTTTTAATTTTGACTGGACCGTTCGCTTTCACTTGGACTTTTTTGTACTCCTGTTCTTCACTTCAGTTGGGTGATGGAAGCTCTGGTGATACTCTCCTCTGACCTGTTGGAATTTGAGATTATTCTCAATCTGGAGAGATTTGAGTTCATGCAAAAAGTAACTTGAAGCCTCACATTATGATTTTTTTGACCTCAAAACCTAAAAAGCATTTGCTATATTGATTCTAGTCTTTTCTGTGTCAGTTTCACAGCCTTATACTACCTGTCATCACTCCATTTCCCCTGTTAACCATCTGATGGCGGTGATTAGATAAATTTCTTGTCTTTTGTACATGCTGTGCTTATACTTGTAACCAGGTCCCTCTGTCTTTCCTCATCTCTGTTTATTCCAGTTTTACTCATTCCTCAAGCTCTACGTAAGTCCCATCTCTTATATGAACTTTCCTGAATTTTCTACCCATACAGAATCCCTTTTCTCTTCATTCTTGGGCATTTCTAGTCTTTACCAGCAACTCTACACTGCATTATCTGTCTTGAGAATTCCCTAAGTACTGGCCTTATCTGTTAGCATTATGTTATATTCTAGAAGGGATTGTTTTATGGATGGATGATGTTTAGTTTAGGGAGACTGTGGGGAGATAGTCTCTTAAAATTAACCATTCTGGATCTTGGCCAGTTTTCAATTAGGAGCTCCCTAAAGATTGACTTTTATTTTTATGTTTGAGGTAAGAGACTTTCTGCAGACCTAGACTGTTAGGAATGCTTGGGTTGAGAGTCTTTTGGGATGGTTACAGATTTCTTTAAATTTTTTTTTTTTGAGGGGGGATCTTTTTTGATCTTAACTTGAATCCTCCAAGTCTACTGAATAGTAGAACCCTGAGTAAGTTGTTTTCTAGATAATAATAGATCATGGTTGCTTTTGTTGGGGGAAAAAGATTTTAGCATGAAGTTCTAAAAAAAAAGTAATCATGGAAATAATGTAATATGATGAAAGATTTAGTTTATCTCCATTAGTTTATTCAGTAGCCATAAAAGCTTTAGAAGGTACAGAATTTCAAAACAAGTTTTAAGTGTATCTAGATCTGCTAGGAATATATTAAAGATGACACACCAACTGTGCATATAATACGAAGGATTTAGAATTAAATTTTTCGTTGAAAGTGACACTAATGTGTTTATCCTCAGTTATAGTTAGAACCCAGATAAAAGTCATTTTAAACAATGCCTATATGGTATCTTTTAGTATGGGTCTTTAAATCTTAATATGACACCTATATGCATGACATGTATGATTTCTTTAGGAAAGTTACTCCATCATTACTAATTTCCAAGCTGACATATATAGGCACTGCTTCTCAGAATTTAAAAGCAGTATTATGTTGATGGTTGATCTGTTTTTTGCTTCCTTTTATGTCTTTCCTTACTGCAGCAGTTTGTTAGATTATAAATTAAAATTTTTTAAATCTTTTTTTATTTTTATCTTTCTATTGACTATATAAAATTATTCATTTAAACACACTTTTGTTTATATTTTAAGGAGTTGGAAAAGACCTTGGATGTATTTAATATAACTATATCAAGACAACAGGCAGAAGTTGAGGTAATCCCAGATTATCTTTCAATTGATAAAAATAAATCTAGATTCCATGTAGATTTAACAGATGCAGTGATATTGTTAGTGTTCGGCTATAATATACTATTTCCTAAAAGGGGTTCAAATTTGCTTCTTTGTACTATAAGAAAAATTAACTTGATGTTTTGTTCCATACACTTGAATTAGGTCCTCTGGGGGAAAAATTCTTGCTAAGTAATTCGGCTAAATAATAATTCTTGCTAAATAATTATCAAACACTGAGTTCATAAGAAGGTGAAAATCCAGTCTTTGGGGTGGGCAGCGGGGTTGTGTGATTATGGTGACTTGTAAGACAGTAGTGCTCTCTACCTGGAAATCCTAAATTATGTTTGACTTATGTTGCTTTACTTTGTTTTGTTGTCTGTTTGTATATTGTTCACATTTTTTCACTGGAATAGTTTAATTTTGTAAATGTCATTTTTCTTTCTCTTTAGATTGCTAAATAAAGGATAATTTGTTATTTATTTGAAAATTTATTCATTTTAGGTAAAGAAAGCTGGATATAGGATTTTCAGGGAAGGAGCAAAAGATTCAGAGGAAAACAAAGGATGGTTTAGCTGGCTGTGGACTTGGTCAGAACCAAAAAGTAAAGAACAACCAGATGTTAAGCCTGGAAGTAGGTCCATTTCATTTTGTAGTAGTGCAGTTAATCATTAGGTTAATTTAGTGCAGCTAATCATCAGTTGCGAAAATAAAGTTTTTTTTTTTTTTTTTTAAAGATTTTATTTATTTATTTGTCAGAGAGAGAGAGAGAGAGGGAGAGAGAGCAAGCACAGGCAGACAGAATGGCAGGCAGAGGCAGAGGGAGAAGCAGGCTCCCTGATGAGCAAGGAGCCCGATGTGGGACTCAATCCCAGAACGCTGGGATCATGACCTGAGCCGAAGGCAGCTGCTTAACCAACTGAGCCACCCAGGCGTCCCGCGAAAATAAAGTTTTGCAGAAAATTTTCTAAGATAAACATTATGACCATATATACGTATTATATGTAATTTATAAAATTACTATTAAAACATTGTATATGTCAAATAAAAATTAAATTTTTTATCTTAATGTTTACAAAAGAGCTTTATGCTCAGGTTTTAATAAATTTGTAAATTCCCAAGGGTATAAGCCATTGTAAATTTTTGTTGAAATTATTTCTTGGAAAGATTTTTGTTTCCTTACTAAATGTCTAAGATCATAGCTTTGGAGACATAGGGGCTTAAGTTTATATCCTAGATCGGTCACTTTCTTGCTGTGTAGCCCAGGCAAATTATTTAAATTCTCAAACCCTCTATTTTATCATCTGTAAAATGGGAAATTATAATATTAGTGTTACTTTGTATGCTAAGTATATTGCTTAGCAGAATACTGCTAAGTGCTTAATACAGATTAGCTTGCTTAATCCAAATACTTAGAAATTTCTATTGCTAAATTTACGTATTTAGTAGTTTATATTTTTGGAGAATAATCCTTCTAAAATTGCCAGTGGTATCCTAACATTCAATGATTACCACTTTTCTCTCTTTTTTTTTTTTTAAATAAAAGTTCTTTTAAAAGTTTCTTAAAAGTATAAAAAGAGAGTTAATTTTGCCAGTTTGTTAAAAGCAGCTAAATTATGGGTTAGTTTTATCTTACCAGTTAAGAATACAAAACACTTCTTTATGATTATAGTTCTTGAAGAAATGTTGACATCTGAAGAAAAAGCTTTACTCTATGAAGCAATTGGCTATAGTGAAACAGCAGTTGATCCAACCTTGCCAAAAACAGTAAGATGTTTTCTTGCCTTGTATCTTAGAGTTTAATGGTAATATGCCTATTTTTAATGTTTTCAGAAATGTTACTGACTACTCTGTGAGCTTTGTCTAGTTGGTACATATTATATTTATTTTAATTTCCAAGATATGAATAAAAATTGCCCTTTTAGTGTTTATATGGTGGTTCTTTAATATATAAAGGGTTGTTTTTAAAGTATTTTTTTGGTTATTAGAAAGAATAAGCTGTGAGGAAGAGTATTTGTTGTCTCTATCTATATATATAGATACACACATACATATAAAATACATATATAAATTTCATTTTATTTTTCTCAATATATTCTAGTTTGAAGCCATGAAGTTCTTTGTTCACTTGAAAAGTATGTCTTTTGTTCTAAGAGAAAAACGAGGGACGCCTGAGCTGTTAGATATTGTAGTAGAAGAATTTAGCACTTTGATTGTGCAAAGACCAGGAGCACAAGCCATTAAGTAAGTATTTTTCTTTTACTGGTAAGTGAATATTTCATCATAAGGTGGGAAGTTAGATTACGGTCTTACAGTATTTTGTAAGGGTACTATTTTAATGTATCCTTACGTATTTTTAGGGACTTAAATTTTGGAATTATTAAAAATAATACTGGTTCAGTAGAAAACTCTATGCTAAGGAAATGTAGAGGGACACTGAAGAATAAAACAGAAATGCCAGCAATCACCCTATATAAATGAAACCGCATTAACAGTTTGGTTTCTATCTGGGAATATCTTTATTTCTTTTGTTTTTAAAAATAGTTTTATTGAGATATAATTAATATACCATGCATTTCATCCATTTAAAGTGTACAACTCAGTTGTTTATCACACTTCTGGTGTCCTATACCAAATTCACAATGGTATATTTATAGAGTTGTGCAACAATTACCATTATCTTAATTCTAGTACATTTTGACACCCTAAAAAAGGAAATCCTGTACCTTTAAGCTTTTTCGCAGTCACTCCCCATTCTCCTTTCTCCCCAGTGTATGGCAACAATGAATTTACTTTGTTTCTAAGAATTTGTCTGTTGGAGGCATTTCTATGAGTGGAATCATGTAATGTGTGGCCTTTTTTGTCCAGCTTCTTTCACTTAGCATGATATTTTCAAGGTTCATTTATGGTATGGTGTGAATTAGTATTTTATTTTTTTCTTTTGCATGGTAAGATCCCACTGTGGGGATATTCCACATTGTGTTTGCCCATTCATCAGATGATGGATATTTGGTTTGTTTCTGTTTTTTGACTGTTATGAATAATGTTGCTCTGGATATTTACAGACAGCATTTTGTATGGACAATAAGGCTTAAATTTTCCTGGATATGCACTTAAGAGCAGAATTATTTCCTCATATGGTAACTCTATATTTAACTTTTGAGGAGGAATTGCCAGATTGTTTTCCAAAGAGCTGCATCATTGTATATTCACACCAGCAGTGTATGAGATTTCTTATTAATCAATATCCTTGACAACACTTAATTGTCCTTTTGAATTACAGCCATCCTAAAGGGTGTGAACTGGTATTTCATTATTGTTTTAATTTGCATTTCCCTGATAGCTAACAGTATTGAGCATCTTTTCTTGTGCTTATTGGTTTCTTCTATATATATTCTTTAGAGAAATATATAGTAACTTACTTTGCCCATTTTTAAATTGAGTTGTCTTTTCATTCAGTTTTAAGAGTTATTAAGAGTTCTGTATATATTGTTGATGAGAATCTTTTATTTCATAAGAAAGTCATAATTGTTTTCTCTCATTCATTGTTTCTTCTCAGTTTTTTGGTGGTATTCTATGCCAGATATTTTTGGTTTTGGTGAAGGTCCAGTTTATTTTTTGTAGTTGTTGCGGTGAAGACTCAAGAAGTCTTCGCCTAACTCAAGGACACAAGATAAATTCCTGTGTATTCTTGTGAGAATTTTACATTTTTCTCTCTTAAATTAGGTTTATGACCCATTTTGAGTTAATATTTATATATGGTGTGAGTTTGGGGTTCGATTTGATTCTTTTCCATGAGATTATTAATTTGTCTTAGCAACATTTGTTGCTAAACCTTATTTTGCATTGAATGATGTTGATACCTTCATCAAGTAGTTTACCATAAATGTAAGCGTTTATTTCTGGACTTTTTTCTATTCCCATTGATCTTTACAACCTTCTGCCAGTAGTACCCTGTGTTCATTACTCTAGCTTTGTAGTAAAATTTGAAATCAGAAAGTTTATCCTCCAGTTTTGTTTTCTTTTTCAAGATGGTTTTAGCTCTTCTGATATTCTTGAATTTCTTTGTATCCATTTTTGCCAAAAATTTCAGCTTAGATTTGATAAGGATTTTGTTGAATCTGTAGATCAATTTTGGGTACTGACATTTAAAAGGCATTGTCTTAAAACGCATGAATATTGGATGCCTTTCCAGTTACTTAGATCTTCATTAATTTCAACAGTGTTTTATAGTTTTCAGAGTACAGGTTTTGTATCTTTTTTGTTAAGTATATTCATATGTGTTTTATTGTTTTTGATGCTGTATGAGAGGAAAGAATTTTCCGCAACCCCTTTTGAGGGCCTGGCTGCATCTGAAAATTAAATCTGACAGGTTAACAAGGGAGAAGTGTACAGATTTATTTAATAAAAGTTTAACAAAAGAATCTTTCTAATGAAATGAAGATCCAAAGAATCAGTTAGACTAGAGTATGTTAGGTTTGATGAAGAGTGTACAGTTGGGGAGGAATATGATAGGTCAAGTAGTGTAAGGTAAGTATGGTAGACTGGGGGAAACTTAGCAAGCCCTGTTATTAGGACTCTTTTCAGTTTATCTTTGTCTTTAGAGATAAGGATGCTTTTTTCCTCTAGCTACAGGGAGGGCACCTATTACGTCAAGGTTTTATAATCTGTTAGGGGAAAGGGTAGGGGAATATCAGAGTGACCTTTCTGCTTCTGCTGTTTTCTTGTACTCCTTCAGTTTAAAAATACTCACTATACCAGGGTGTCGTATTTTGGGGGCAATGGGTCCTGATCCCCATCAATGCTTACAAGTGGCATCATGTTCTTAATTTCATTTTTGGATTGTTAATTACAAGTGTGTAGAAATACAATTGATTTTTGTATAATGATCTGTTACCCTGCAATCTTGATAAATTTAATTACTTCAATAGTTTTTATTAAATTCCTTAGGATTTTCTGCATACATGAGCATTGCATCTGCAAATAGAGATAGTTTTACATCTATATTTCCAGTGTGGACACCTTCTCTTTCATTTCTTAATTGCCCTTATTTGAACCTTTGGTACCATGTAGAATGGAAGTGGCCAGAAAGGGTATCTTTTTCTAGTTCTTTACCTTAAGGAGAAGTGAATATGATGTTAAATGTGGGTTTTTCATAGGTGCCTTTTATCAGTTTTAAGAAATCCCATTCTATTCCTAGTTTGTTGAGTTTTTGGCTTTTTTTTTTAATGTTGTTATTGTTGTTTTTCTTGGCATGAAAGTTTGTTAGATTTCATCAAATGCGTTTTCTATGTCCCTTAAGATGATTGTGTATTTTTTTGTTCTTTATTCTTTTGATTTATGGTGTATTCACCTTAATTAGTTTTTCACATGATAAAATAATGGTGTATTCTTTTGACTGTATGTTTAATCTTTTTTACATACAGCTGGATTTGGTTTGTTGGTGAGGATTTTTATGTCTGTGTTCATAAGAGAATACTGGTCTATTTTTTTTTGTGATGGCTTTGTCTGTTTTTTGTATTAGGATGATACTATCCTTGTAAAATTTGTTGGCAAGTATTCCCTCCTCTTTGGAATAGTTTGTAAAGAATTGATATTGAGTCTTCATTAAATGCTTGGTTGTAGAATTCACCAGTAATGTCACTGGGGCCTGAGCTTTTCTTTGTGGGAAGCTTTTAAATTATTAATCTGTATGTGTCCTTAGGTTTGTTGACATTTTTCTGACCCCCCCCAGTTCAGTTTCTTTTTAGAAATATGTCCATTTCATTTAAGTATTTACGTGGTATAATTTATTTTAATATAGTTGTTTGCAGTATTACCATGTAATCTTCTTCTTTCTGTGAGGTTGGTAATAATGTATTTTTTAAAATATTTAATTTTTTTGCGTCTTCGCTCTTCTTAGACTAGTTAAATTTTGTTGATCTTATTTTCAAAAAAAGAGTTTGGTTTTGTTTTTGCTATATTGTTTTCCATTCTCTGTTTTATTTATTCTCTAACCTTTATATTTTTAAAATTTTTCTTGCTTTAGGCTTAGATTACTTTGCTTTTTTCAAGTATCTTTAACAGACATGATAGTGATTTGGGAATTTTCTTTAGGGAATGTATGCATTTGCTAATTCATTAATTTTATTTTAATGACTTTTCTTTATTGGAGTAAAACTGACATCATAAAATTAATCTTTCTAAAGACCACAATTCAATGAGATTTAATATATTCATAATGTTGAATAATCACCACCCCTATCTAGTCAAAATATTACCATAAAGTGAAATGCCATACTCATTAAGAATCACCCCCTCCTCATGGCCCTTGGAAGACACGAGTCTGCTTTGTTTTTGGATATGTCATAAAATGGAATCATACATTATGTGACCTCTTGTGTCTGGTTTATTTTACTTAGCATAATGTTTTCAAGGCTCATCTGTGGTGCTGTGTATATCAGAATTTCATTCCTTTTTAAGGCTGCATAATACTCCATTGTATATATTTACCACATTTTGTTTATTCTATTCGTTTGTTCTGTGGAAATTTGAGTTGTTTCTACCTTTTGGGTATTGTGATAATACCACAGTGAACATTCAAGGGTGTGAATTTGAATACACATTCTTTTTCTGTGTCCCTAGGAATGGAATTTTTTGAGTCATAACATAATTCTTTTTTTAACTTTTTGAGGAGGGGCCAATGTGTTTTTCATAGAACTGAACCATTTTACATTTCCATTAGCAGTGTACAAGGATTTCAGATTTTCCATCTTCTTCCCAACACTTATTTTCTTGTATGTGCCTTTAAATTATAGCTATTCTTATGGGTGTGAAATGTGTTTTCTCATTGTGTTTTTTTGTATTGCCTTAATGTCTATTGATATTCAACATCTTTTCATATGGGTGTTGACTATATACATCTTCACTGGGTCCTTTTTTTAAATTGGGTTATTCTTTTTGTTGAGTTGTAAAAATACTTTATATATGCTAGACTCTAGATACATGATATTTACTTCCATTCTTTAGCTTGTCTCCTCGCATTTTCTTGATAATGTCCTTTCATGCACTGTTTTTAATTTTGATGGAATATATTTTATCTGAGTTATTTTTCTGTCATTGCTTATGCTTTTGATATAATACCTTAAGAAGGTTTCCCTATATAATATAATTTTGGTATAGTATCTAAGAAGGTTTGCCTAACCCAAGATTATGGAAATCTAGTCCTATATTTTCTAAGCATATTATAGTTTCAACTCTTATGT